TTTCTGCATTTGATTCTTTAGTGCAGATGTTATTAATTCAGGGATTTCTTTTTTCATTTCCAATCTGAGGTCTTCTACATCTTTCTGCAGCTATTTCTTTATTTCAGATTTCAGAAGCCGTTGATTCATTCCTTTCAGTTGTGTGATTTCTAATTTTTTCGGTGTTAGTGACCTCTGCACTTTTTACGTGTGGGCTTGGGTTCTGAGGTTGCATTTTGTTCCTTCTCGTCATTTTGTGGAGCTCTGTCTTCTGACCTTGTTGTAGATCTTTGTTGTAGTTATAACCTTCGAATGTACTGAAGTTGAGGTGCAGCTCTACTGAGTTTTGACTTATCCAGCTGCATCTGGCTTGGGCCTGGCTGTTGTGCTCAGCTCCTTCCTGCTGCTGCCCTTAAGGGTGAACTTGTTGTGCCCTGTGGAAAGATGTTCTGCTCCTGGACTAGCTGGTTGGATCTATCCTCTACACTCTCTGCAGGTATTGCAGCTGGAGGATTACACCTCAGGCATGTATGCCAGACCTGAGCTGTGCCTGGAGGGGGCAAGGTGAAGTAGGGGGAAGAGGAAGCTCTCAGCACACATTCACGGGACCTGGTCTAGGACTGGGTCTGGGGACTCCGGCACGGGCAAAGATTCCTACTCGGTGGATGAGGTGGGTAAGGCACTGCGGAGTGGTGAGGGGCGGCCCAAAGGGCTGGGAGAGGGTCCGGCTCACACTGCATCTGGGCTGGGACTAGTCCTGCCAGCGCAGTGTAGCAAGAAACTCTCCGCACTCACTGGACCTGGGCTAAGACTGGTTCTGGGGGCTCCCGGAACTTGGTAGAAAATCCTATTTGGCGGGCGGGGTGGGGGAGGCACTGCGGAGTGGTGAGGGGTGGCCCAAAGGGATGGGAGAGTGTCTGACCCACGCTGCACCTGTGCTGGGACTGGTCTCACCAGCACAGGGTAGCAGCGAAATGTAGATATTGTTGAATGTCTTGTTTAATTTCATCTGTGACCCATTGGTTTCTGAGTACAGTGGCACTTAATTTCCATGTATTTGAGGTTTTCTTCTGGTTTCTTTTGTTATTTATTTCCAGTTTCATTGCACTGTGGTCAGATAATGTGCATGGGTTAATTTCTGTTTTCTTACATTTACTTAAGCATGACCTATGGACCAGTATGTGGTCTATTTTAGAAACTGACCCATGTGAAGCTGAGAAAAATGTGTATTCAGTTGTGTTTCGATGGAACACTCTGTATATGTCCACACAGCCCGTTTGTTTCAACCTCTGGTCCAGTTCTCTAATTTCTTTGCTATGTTTTTGTCTGGTTGACCTATCTTTTGGAGATAAGGGTGTGTTAAGGTCTCCTGTTAAAACTATCGTATTTGATATTAGATTTTTCATGTTCATTAAGATTTGCTTTGTATATTTGTTTTCTCCTGTGTTTGATGCATACATTTTTATGAGTGTTACCTTTTACTCTTGTATTTTCACCCTAACCAGTATATAGTGGCCTTCTTAATTTCACTTGATCATTGTTGGTTTGAAGTTGAGACTGAGAATAGGATTACTCCCCCTGCTTTTTTCTGATGGGCTGAGGCATGCAGTATTGTCTTCCATCCTTTGACTTTCAGTCTATGAATGTCTTTATGAGTTAAATGTGTTTCTTGCATACAGCATATTTTTGAATTTTGTTTCCTAATCCACTGTGCCAATCTATTTCTCTTCATTGGTGAATTGAGTCCATTTACATTGATGGTTAGAATTGAGATGTAGTGACTTACAATTGACATGTTCTTTATTTGTTGTTGTTTACTCCTTTTTATCCTGTCTTTAAATGCTTGCCATATTTAGTTGGTTGCTTCTCATTTCATTCGTGGAGTTCTTGCGTCCCTATCTAGAACATCTCTCTGTAACCTGTGTAGGGTTGGCTTTGTCATCACGAAATTCTTTAGCTATTCTTGGTCATGAAAGTATTTCACTTCTACATCAAACTTGAAAGAGAGTTTTGCAGGGTATAGTAGTCTGGGTTGGAGTTTGTTTTCATAGAGGACTTGAAGTACTATGCTCCATGCTCTTCTTGCCTGCATGGTTTGTGAAGAGAAGTCAGCCTTAATTCTGATCAATTTTCCTTTGAATGTGATCTGTTTCTTTTCTCTAGAGGCTATCAGTATACTATTTTAGTGCTGAATGTCTGGGATCTTGACTATTATATGTCTCGGTGTGTTTTTTATTGGGTTGATGTTACTTGGAGTTCTTTATGCATCAGTTAACTGAATGTCAGATTGTTTCCTCATATTTGAGAAGTTTTCTGCTATTACTTCTGCCCATATTTTTTTAATGTCATTTGTATTGACTCCTTCTTTCTCACTGATGCCTATTAGTCTCACATTGTTCATCTTTGCATCATCTTGCAGGTGAAGGATTATCCTTTCCTACGTCCTCATTGTTTTTAAGAGATCCTTTCTTACCTTTTCACTAGTTACACCAGCATCTTCAAGATCTGAAACTCTGTCTTCACATTCACTTAAACGATTTTGCAAGCTTGTGATTGACAGTTTAATTTCCTCTATTTCTCTTTGACTCTGCTTCGTGCGATCTATTTCTTTCCTGTATTGCTCATTCAAGGAATCTGTCATTTTTCTAATCTTCTCTATTTTTTTTATCAATGTCTTCTTTAGAAGCAGTTAGAAATTCTTTTTCTGCTGTTTTTTTTAGATTGGTTTTCCTCCCTATGTTTATGTAGTTGCTTCTTTACATCAGATGCTCTGAGTTCTGAGAATTCTTTTTTTATTTCAGAAAAGAATTGCTCTCTGTGTTGCTCTATAACTTTCTGCTGTTGCTTATTTACTATTGACACTATTAATTCATGCATTTGAGCCAAACTAGTGTCCTCTGCACTTGTTCTGTGTGGGCTTTGGGTTTCTTCCATATGTTTCTGCATTTGATTCTTTACTGAAGATGTTATTCATTCAGGGATTTCTTTTTTTTATTTCCAATCTGAGTTCCTCTATACCTTTCTGCAGCTGTTTGTTTATTTCAGAAGCTGTTGATTCATTGCTTTCAGCTATGTCATTCCCAATTTGTTCTGTTTAGTGTCCTCTGCACTTGTTACAGGTGGGCTTGGGTTCTGAGGTTGCATATTGTTCCTTCTCATCATTTTGTGTAGCACTGTCTTCTGACCTTTGTTGTAGATCTTTCTTGCAGTTATAACCTTTGCACATACTGAAGTTCAGGTGCTGATCTACAAAGTTTGGATTTATCCAGCTCTGCCTGGCTTCGGTCTGGCTGCTGTGCTCAGTTCCTTCCTGCTGCTGCCCTTGGGGGTGAACCTGTTTTGCCCCTGTGGCAAGATGTTCTGTTCCTGGACTAGCTGGCTGGTTCTATCCCCCCAGGGATTGTAGCTGCTGGTTTTCACCCCAGGCTTTTATGCGAGGCCTGAGCTGTGCTTGGAGGGGACAAGGTTTAGTAATGGCGAAATGCAGCTCTCCCACACACTCACCAGGCCTGGGCTAGGACTGGTTCTGGGAGTTTCCAGAACACAGCAGACATTCGTACTCTGTGTGCTGGTTGTGTGTGGGTACTACGGAGTGATGGGGAGCATCCCAAAGGGGTGGAAGAAGGTTTCACTCATGCTGTGCCTGGGCTGGGACCAGGAGTAGGTCCCTCTGGCACAGGGTAGGGGGAAGCTCTCCCACACACTCACCGGGCCTGGGCTAGGGCTGCGTCTGGGGGTCCTGGAACAAGGCAGTAATTCCTACTCTGCATGCGGGTAGGGGATATGCTGCGGAGTGGTGGTGGGTGTCCCAAATGGGTGGAATAGGGTCTCACCCACGTTGCGACTGGGCTGTGACCAATAGGTCCCGCTGGTGTGGGAAGCGTATCTGGAAGCTCTCCCACACACTCACTGGCCCTGAGCTTGTACTGGGTCTGGGTGTTCCCGGAATGAGGCAGAAATTCCTACTCAGCGGTCTGGGTGGGGCAGGTGCTGCGGAATGGTGAAGGCATCCCAAGGGGGTGGAATAGGGTCTCAGCCATGCTGCACCTGGGCTGGGACCAGTAGTAGGTCACACAGGCACAGGGTAGCCAGAAGCTCTCCCACACACTCACCGGACCTGGGCTAGCCCTGGGCGAAATGTGTGACTTATTGTAACTGTCCTACTAAACTGTTTTGGAAATGTCTCAATGCTATTTCTTTATCAACAAAATTATTAATGAAGTAAAATAAAAAGGAATAATTTTTCAACATAAATGATAAAATTATTGAAAGAAAAAATGTAAATGATTGCATCCAAACCCTGCGGATGCTAAAAACTTTGACAGACTCCCTGAAATAGTTAATTAAAGGGAGTATGAATTACTGTAGTCTCACCTCAGAATTCATCTCCACCTACATTGCTTCAACCCTGTATACTCACCAGTGCTCTAGAATATATGCAGTAAGGGATTTTTTGCATTTCTCCTGTAATATAGAATTTGCTTTCTCCTGCTCAGGTCCAATCCCAAGGGTCTACATCTATTTTGCAAGAGAAAATTCCTTCTTGAAGATTGAGATGGCTACTGCAGAAATGAAGATACCTCTTGTAGAATCTGACTATGCTGAGCTGGTTGTAGATATAGGAACAATCACCCTAGGAGAGGAGGCTAGGGAAAGCATGGATTGTCAACTGAGAGCTCATGAGCGAGAAAAATTCCTAAGAGGTTTATCTGCTGCACTGAAGGGTAAAGTGTCAGTAGTCACAGGAAAAATTAAAAATGAAGACTATGTTTATGTACACGGAATAGGACAAGACTTGGAACAGCCTGTTAGGAAGATTGTATCAGATGTTCATAATCATCTTGATTTCGTGTTCAGAGAGAACACATTACTGATTTTTGTGAAGTGCAGCTTACGTGATGAGGAATATGGCACCTTGAACACTCATTTGTACCGAAGGAATATGACAGATGAAGATCAAATGAATGAGAGTGCTGCACTCAAGTTCCTCAAGGAACTGAAAAGAACTGGAGGAAGATCATATTCTACACCAATATTGACAGAAGACTGGGATGTTATGAATGAAAGTCACAATGAAGCCATTGCTGCTGAATTTTTTAACAGTAAAGGGCTTATAAAAAAGGAACAGTTCCACATTACTAAATCCAGTATGAAAATTGGAGATTTCCATGTTACTGAATCCACTCATGTTGAAATTAAGACACTCAAGACAGAAATGTGGTTGCAAGACATTAAAGAGAAGCTTTCTAAGTATGTTTCTGCATTTGCAAATACTGATGGTGGCTACTTGTTTTTTGATTTAGAAGAAAATTCAAAAGAAGCAACTGGATTTAAAGCAAACAAGTGTGATCTCCTCACATCAGAAATGCGTATACAACAGACCATCAGGAAACTGCCTGTCTATCATGATGTGTCTGATAATGCGAGCTTCTTCCTCAGATTACACACAACTCAGCTGTCCTTCCCTAGGGATTGTGTCTGCTAATTTTCACCAGTTTTATTAAGAGCTGTTTTACTCAGGTATTATTATTTATGCACATATTGCTATTATATATATATATATATACATATGCGGCCAGTTAAAGAAAGGAGTTAACAATAAGGATTCCAACATGATGGGACAGTGTTCTCTTTCAGACATGAGTACAGTCAAGAAATTTCAAATTATATTACTCAATCTTCTTTCTCTGCCTTACTCTTATGAGTGACTTCTTCCTTTCTTACACACACTCAGAAGATACACTAGACCGTAAGCCATTATCTGCACTCTGTACTGTCTTAGATACTTTTCACTCAATGCTTGGACAAAATGCCTGACACTCAAAGTTAAGGATGGAAACATTTATTTAATTCACAATTAGTGCAGATTTCAGTCCAAGGTTTGGAGCTCGCCTAACATAAAAGTCCATGTTAGGGGTCTGATGGATCTGTGATGGATGCTTACTGCAAAAACAAGGCTGGAGCTGCTCCTGGAAGTGGAATGCTCCATCCTTTCTCAGTTCTGTTTGGCATCATTTAAGTGATGAGTCCTTCTAGGGAGGAGCCTGTTCACCCTTGGGTGTGGAATCACTGAGCCAATTTAGTTAAGCTTTTAACTTCTCAAATTTATACAATGTATCAACCACTACAGTAGCTCTGTGTTTTATTAAGGTTTTTTTTTGTATGAAACCCAGTTTTTTTTTTTTTGATCTACAGCTTTGGAGCTTCCAACTTATACTTAATTGGCAATGTTATGTTGGTGACAGCATATGATGACAGGCAGCATGTGGCAGAACAAACCTACTCACCTCACAGGGAGTAAGAGAGAGCAAGAGGAAGGAGGAAGTGCTAGGGCCCCACGACCCTTTTTAAGGGCCAAGGAAGGAAAGGGAAGAAGCTATAGCCCCCAGTCTTCTGCAGTAGAGATCTGAGTCCCCAGCAGAATTGACTGTTTTACTCTGGTTGCAAATGCAGTGCTCTTTCTAAGACCTCTCACTGACCCACCACTTGCTAAAGGTCTACCAGCTCCCTATAGTACCATCCAGAGAGCAAGCCTTTGCCACATGAAGCTTTGGGTGACAGTTGGGATCTCAACTATAGCATTATCTCCTTAGCTGACCAAAATTCTTGTTCACTCCATAAAGCCAAATGCATTCATTTCATGTGCAAGTATCATAAATTCTTCATTGCCTTGACTTGGCTCCAATATCCAAATGTAAAATCTCCTCTGAGACTCAAGGTAAATTCAGTTTGTAAGTCTTCTATTAAAAAAAGGCATGTCATTTTATATTTGTGTATGATATAATGTTGCTAGTCACAGGATGAGTATTCACATTTGAAAGCATAGGACAAGTGCAGAGAGTTACAGGACCAAAGTAAAGCCACAACTCAACAGAGCAAACATTAAATCTTACAGCCTATGTCTGGCATCAGGGACTTACTATGCCAATGACTTTGCTGAGCACATGGTGGAAGAAAACTGCTCATCTCATAGCTGGGCAGCGAATGCCAGAGAAGGGAAGGGCATGTAATGCACTCCCCAGTACACTTTGAACTAGTTAGTATTCATCTTTTGAAAGCTTGCTCTCCACCTAGTAGCAGCATCCTAAAGAGCCAGCCTCTTGTACATGGAGCTTTGTGAGAGCAGCGGGATCTTTTAAGGTGGAAACAGAAGCTTCCTCCCTAATACAAAAATCCACTTCACCCCAGATATTTCCTCCATACCCCTTTTGTGCTTAGATTTTATCAAAGATACTTCAAGCCTTGCTCTTCCTCTTTCTCCTCTTCCTTCTCCTCTCCCTCTCTTACTTCTCTTCTACTTCCTTCTTCTTGAGCTCAATTTCAGCAAGAACTATATCAGAAACACTAATATCTTTTATTAGTGTCTTCATCTTTCCTTATCTTCTCATATACCTTTTCCCTTTAAAAATTCTCCTTCTTACATTTGTAAGAAAAAAAGATTTTACTTTCAATTTTACTCCTAAGAAAACAATAGTGCTAGTATTTTATCTGTGTGCAGAAGAGAAAAGCTTCCCATGCAATGGGATGAGCAGTAGAAACTTCTGATGAGTCTGTGAGTGGGAGCTTCTTCCTCAGACTACACACAACTCAGCTGTCCTTCCCTAGGGATTGTGTCTGCTAATTTTCACCAGTTTTATTAAGAGCTGTTTTACTCAGGTATTATTATTTATGCACATATTGCTATTATATATATATATATATAC